GAGAGAGAGAGAGAGAGAGAGAGAGAGAGAGAGGAAGTATTGTTTAGTTAGATAAGAAATAAAAGAGTTTTTGTTACCGTTAGAAAACATCTAAATGAATTGAGTAACACATCTATGACAATACTTTTACTGCATTTCATTCAATGTGCGCTATTATATGCAATCCGCAAAATACACTTTCATTTAATCACAATGAAAGCACACAATTATATCCTAAATAATTGCTTATCGATAAAATCATTCATTCATTCTTTTCTTCCATAAACATAATTTAAAGCCAAATAGAGTCATATAATTATAACTCGATTATAAAATGAATTTCAAGAAAGTATTACAATATTTAATATTTTTATTGCCAAAAATTTATTTCTACAAATATCTTGTAATTTCTTATTTTTTATGATCTCAAGTGTTGAATCGAGTGAAATAACACGGTGTTTAAAGTCATCAAACTTAAGGCTTAATAAAACAACTGTCAAGTGATTACCCTATTATTAAATTTGCATATTCTTATAGATCTTTCAACACTTAAAACTAATTGATTAATTTTTTTTTTGTGTCACACTATATTTTGGTTTAATTTTAAACTTTATATTCGAGTATTTATGATTATTTTAATTTAAAATGGTATTTAAATGAAATTTATTTGCAATTCGTCCATGATTTAATTAATTAATTAATTATAACAATTGTTTTAATGTTAAGACATGTTTAACTGAATTTAATGAATAATATTTTTAATAAATAATATTAGTAATTAAAATTCAATTACTAAAAATTATACATAAATAATTTATTATACAAAATGTCAACAATGTAGAGTTATCAATGTATATCACATAAGTTTATTTATTAACAAAATGACTAGTAATGACATTACACACGTCTCGTCAACACAAAGTATATCGACGGCCAACACCGGATCAATGAATGCTCCCGAGTGCTACGGCTGTCACAATGTCATTAATGGGCAATATTTACTTAAAGCACTCGATCATCTCTGGCACGATGATTGTCTCAAATGTGTTTGTTGTGATTGTCGTCTCATCGAAGTCGGATCCACTCTCTTCACTAAAGCTGATCTCATACTCTGTAAACGCGATTATCTCAGGATGTTTGGGGCAACGGGTCTGTGCGCTGCGTGTAATAAACAAATCCCGGCGTTTGAAATGATTATGAGAGCGAGAGGAAATGTGTATCACTTGGAATGTTTCAAATGCGAGGCCTGTTCTTATAGGTTTTGTGTCGGCGACCGCTTCTACTTATACGACAATAAGATATTGTGTGAATGCGATTACGAGGAGCGGATGGTACTCGCAAACGCTAATCAAATGACTTCTTTGGATCACATTAAAGGACAAACGCAAGAGTTGGTTGAGGTGTGCGACGGGTCCAGCGGTTATGCGAATGGGGACTCGCCTTTCGAAACCAATCGGACAAATACACGAAACAAGTTGTATAATAATAAACAATTTTGTCAAACAAATGTGTCAGCCAACTAATAATACACATCATAACTTATAAATTGACATGTAAAATAAAATACATTAAATTACGGCAACAAAAAATTCTCGTTTAATATATCATTGGAAACGGAATTTAAGTCATAAAATTAATTATTAGAAAATCAATTAAAAAAATAGTTTAAAAGCAATTACTGTAAGACTAATGCATTTGAAAAAAATATTTGGTTTTAAACAAAAAAATTGCTTCGTTACTTGAAATACATTTCATTCAATTATTAAAATGTTTTAAAAATGCAATACTTTTATGTAATTTTATTGCCTTTCAGTGTAAACCCTTATACAGTGTTTTATATCAATATTTTGCCAACATTTTCATCTCCTAAAGCATTTTACAGGCAATTATCGATTGAAATGACAGACAATTGGAATTAAATTATTAAATCGACAATAAAAAGTTACGAATTCTGTCATATAGTGTTGAATAGCTATTGATATTGCAGTGAATGCCGTAAAACATTTTCTCATGCGTGCAGTCTTTCTGTCCGTATAATAATGTAATTGAAAATTAAAATACTATTCATTTAATTAACTTTGCATTAAAAGTATTGCATTAGAAATTTAAACTCTAATTAATTACTTTATTGTTTACATTTTAGTTTCAATAGAAAATTTATTTATTGTATTTTTCTCTCGTTTATTGTTCACCGAAACTTCAATTAATATTTTTTTTGTAATCATTTTTAAAAAAATTAATTATTCATTTTTGTCTACAATTTAATGAATGAATGAAATGAATTACATATTGTTTTAAATAATAAAATAGTGTTATAAATAAGGAAAATGTACTCAAATTAAATGTTTAGACATTGTTTTAAGAGAGAATAAACAGTAAATAGAGGTTTAACTGTATAAAAATGAATTTGAATTAAATTACCAATAAAGCCAAATATTAGATTTGTTGTTCAAGTATATACTTTTATTAATCAAAATAAAGTAATACATAATTATTAAGAGATTAATCTGAAGTTAATTATGTTTACATACAATACAAAAACATTTTTGCTTATTTTTATGTTTTAATACGAAATGCCGATCTAAACCAATTTTTCTTGAAAAGGATTGATAACAATGAGTACATTCCATCCTTATTATTGGATCAGCGTTCAGATCCACGATAGTATTGTCCCAATCAGTAATCTTAATTAGTAATTACTATATTAATTATATTTGTAAAATAAATAATTAACAATAGTAAATTACTAACCTTGTTCATTTGACAAGTAGGGGCTGATGTGCCGGCAACTGCTATTAAATTGCCATGCTCATCTGCGGTCACAGTGGCCGCACGGCTGTTATTGATAACGTTATCGCATGATTTTAATATTTTCTCATATTTTTCTAAACGCATAGGGTTTTTTTCCAATGACTCTAAAAACTCTATCGCTTGTTGTGAAGGGTCCAACATATTGTTAACAACTATTAATACAATATCAAATAATCTTATTTTCAAGCAATTAGTAAATAATAGATGTACACAGCGCATACTCTATTACAATATACTAGCATAATACAATAAGAAAATATTCCTTACATCCTATTACTGAGATTACATCAAATACACAATAATTAAATATAACATAAATAAGTATACTGTATTAAATAATATAATTGTTTTTTTTAAACTAATTAAAATTGGCAAAAATAAACTTTATTGAACACTAAGTTATTCGAGTAAAATAGGAAATGACCATTGATTGACTGTAAAATAAATAAAAATTCTTATTCTATATTAAATTTACTCTAATAAGTTTAACATTATTATATGTTTCATTTAATTATATGATAGTATAAATTACACAAATAATAAAAAAAATTTACATGAAACATAACAAAATTATTTTAAACACGAGACAAAATCCAGTTATATAAGACAAATATCTAGTATAAAATAATCAAAGTATTGGCAGACAAAGGTATATTTGTCAATTAGAGAGCAGTAATATTGCCAGTCATTCAAAATATATCCAAACCGCTTAACGCCGTCAATAAACATATACCGCACCCGAAGCCGCGTTCAAAAAAATGGTTGTCCACTCCACTCATGATCGCCGACCCGACAGAGAATGCACTGCGAAATGGATTCAAACGACAAGAATATGGACGTATTTTTGCCTGGTTTGGTCACTCTGTACGAGTTGTGCCCTAATCTGTCACCAGATAACTATACACTCGGTATGAGTGCCCGGTGGCCCGCAATACGCGGTCGATTGACTCGTTGATGAAATGGAATCATAGTTCAGTAATCCGCGCCATATATATATCCGGAGCTCTGGCGTCGTGGAAACGCCGTTGACATGAATATTGTCATAAATTGTTGCACAAATAAAGACGAGTTTTATTTGGACCGCTCCGTAGACGGCAACCCTATAATCCCAGTCATCGGCTATTTAATGCAGACGTGGCGTAAACTGGCGGCCGACATGGACAAATTATGGCACAGAGTACCCGTTATATTTGAGAATGTTCAATTAAAAAAGGGCCGTATTTTCGACCAGGATACTGTTCTTACAATGAAATATTATCCGTTAATCGGTTAGATTACAAAATACGAGAACGAAAACGCACGCGTGTTGGGCAAAATGCCTGCGCCGGGCGATGACGTGCTAATAGCGCAACACGTAATCTATAAAAACGAGTCCAAACTATCGCAGAGGCAGTACTCGGTTGAGAGGCATATACAACGAATTGGGAGTTATGGGCTTAGACTGCGACACGGCATTTCAACGGCTCAACAATGTGGGCACAAATGACTTCAACGTGTTTTACGGCGAGTGCAAATAGGACGGACAGTTTGTCACTTATATGGACGCATTGTCCAAATCGCGCACCCTATCGGCGCCTATTCGCAAATGCTGTTACCGGTGATGATCCGCAAGTTAAGGCTCGACCCAAACGACACAAGAGTCAAAAGGAGGATACGATCGGTGCTGACGGCGGCGGTTACAGCTCTTATCCGAACCAATTGAACGTCGAGATCGATAGTGTGATTGGCGGCCAAATAGGCGACGAATCGACGAGCGAACACAACGCCGTCGCAGAGGTTATAAAGAGGGAAAGTCCGATTCGCCGAACGTTTTGCCCAATACTCGTCGCAAATACCGTTTTATTACAATTTGGATACAAAACAATCGGTTTCTCCCAGCGTTGAACTCGAAGAGGTGGTCGTATTACCCGATTCCCGGCGTACGGATACCACTGGTCTGGTCTTAGATTCGACCGAAGGTTGCGCCAACGATGACTTTCACGCCATCGATGATTACTTATCGGTCGCTGTGTCCAAGTATTTAGAGTCAGTAAAGAAGTACAGCAAGAATTCAGGGGCGACAGCATTGAAAATAATGTTGTGTTTCGCACATTTGATAAATTATTGGCAGAAGTTGTTGACAAAAATAGTAATAAACTGAGCGATAGAGAAGTGGCAAACATTTTGAATGAAATCCAAACAAGTAGTAAATACGATTTGAGTAAAGATTTGGTGAATCAGATCCAGAAGAACGAACGTATGGCGAGAGCATTGGTGGAAATTGTTTGTGGAAACTATGTAATAAATAGTGATATAAATATCACTGAAATTAATATGAGTAGCAGTTTTCTGGGCAAAGATGTGGAACGAATTGTCACCCATTTTTGTATATTTCCCTTTGAAGTCGATTACAAACTAATTGTTAAAAGTAAACAATCGGTGAATGAATTGTATAGAGAAAGGGCTATTGAATAGCAACTTAAAGATGACATATCATTAAAACTTTCGCATTTGGTTATAATGAAAGACTCACAAGACTTATGGGAAATGAATTTGAATAAATTTATTCAATAGTTGTTTGACTCCATAAACAGCAATGGATTTCTATTATGGTTATTTCGGCATAAGTTTATGGAACCTGAGATTACGTTCATATCTTTGACGGGAAACACAATTTCCAGTAATAATGAATTGGATTTACGAATCAAAAAGTTTGTAACAATTGCCAATAAAACTGGATTTAATTTAATCGCAGCAAAAAGCGATACAATCGGTACTCAATGCCTAATTTTTAGAAAAATCATTGACAAACCGATGACACCTGAAAAACACAATGTTATCAAAAATAACTGGTGGTTATCAGCTATGGTTTGAATTATTGCATACAAAACTGATCGCCGGTAAAGAGGCGAACAATAAACGGATAACGTATGGCTTGTCTCTCAGGACTCGTATATCAATGGTATCATTGGTTTAATGAATAATTTGCGGTTAGAACCAGGCAAAGAGAACTTTCGGCATATCTTTCATATGGACACCAATGGTGGGGCAAACATTGACTTCAATACTAAACTCTATTCTGATATATTGGCCAACGATTTGGTAGCAAATGTTATCAAAAGGGGAAAACTGGGAACTTATGGACACTTATCAAAACTCCGGCACAACAAAAGACTTGGTGGGCATTCAATGGTCGTATATCCGCCGGTCCGGAACAGCTGTTTACCGATTGTGTGATGGGCTGTGAATACGTGGGCCGTCGCGTGGATACCGGCGAACGCGTGATGAGTATGGAGATGGGCTGTACTTTTACCACATCATTGAACGCCAGTATTCACAACATGATTATAGTTTCCGAGTCGATGGCTACTATATTAAGCACATATAGCATACTGTATTACGCGCTCATTAAACGGGCTAAACTTAAAACGTGAAAAAGTATATTAATACATTCCGCGGCAGGAGGTGCGGGTCAGGCGGTCATCAATATGTGTAAGCATTACGACTGCGATATCTATGCGACGATTGGGACGGAAGAGAAGAAACCGTTTTTGGTGAATGAATACCATATACCGGAGAATAAGATATTCAACTCAAGAGATATATTCAGGAAATCAAGTGTTGAAACTGACGGCTGGAAAGGGAGTGAATATTGTGTTGAATTCATTGGCGGGCGAGAAGATGGACGCGTCGAACGAGTGTGTGGCCAATATCGGCCGCATTATATAGAGCAATTTATTTCCCAGATTTCTACGATTAGGTTCACAAAAACTGTAAGAGCGGTTGCGTTAAACCAATCATATATACAATGTTTGAGGCCAAGGATGCGGTCAAAGCGCTCCGTTATATGACAACCGGTAAACATATGGGAAAAATGGTCATTAAAATGAGAGACAAAGAGATGGATAGGCGGCCATTGAAAGCGATAAAACCGGCCGTTAATAGGAATAATTGATTTCATAGTTGCAATACTACGGCGCCCGAAAGTTTGTGGTCACCTCCCGGTCCGGCCTTAAGACTGATTATCAGAAATATGTTTTCAATCGTTTTAAATTTGTTTACCAAAAATTAAAACTATTTGAATGTCAATGGGTTCACAATTGAAGGCACAAAACAACTGCTAAATAAGGCGAAAAAGTTGGGACCCATTGGAGGGGTATTTCATTTGGCGATAGAATTGAACGGCTGTTAGATAGAAAATTTAAAGTTTGAAAAGTTTTGCTCATCTATTGATACCAAACACAAAATCTTCGCAAATCTGGATCAACTGAAGCGACAAATGGATTGTAAATTAGATTAATTTGTAATTTTCTCGTTTATTGCTTGTGGTAAAGGGAACGACGGGCAATCAAACTATGCTTTCGGAAACTCCATGTGAGAGCGTATATATGAAGAAAGACGTAGGGATGGTCTGCATGAACTCGCCATAAAATACTATTCCCTCGGTGATGTGAAAGTGTTTATTGACTTTTCAGATCAACTTAAATTTGATTTACTAATTTAGAAATAAGATTTATAACATAAATTCATAATTATAAGGTAATGTCCAATAATTGTAAGTGTTTATTAAATTTATAAGTTTAATGTATAAAAGGGTATAAAAATGTTCGGGTATAGCAAAATCAACTTATTAAAAAAAAGCAATTTTAATACAGATATTGTATAGGTTATATATTGTAAATTCATAGACATTTCATTTCATTTGTACACAAATACACAATATCATCAAGTTAAAATGGACTATTGCCCCTCAATAACTAATGAGTCGGATATTGGGCTCTGCAATAGAAATAACCACAAAAAAAATAGAAAAAAAATAAAAGAATAAAAACTTATTACTCATTATATAAACCATACAAACGTTTAATAACAATAATTCATACCCTAATATTATATAACAGATTTGAGAAGTAGTGCTCAAACAAATGGCAAACAAGGAGTTATAACACCAAGGCTTGAATACCATAATTATACAAATTATTTAATTAATTTTATTTATTTCTATGATTATGTTAGATTTGATTCAAAGACTTATTATGTAATAAGTTACATAACGTTAGGCCTACCGATATCAGCGCGTTTCAAAATGGCCAGCATTTGGGTGATTTCATAAATGACAGGAGCAGGCATATAAGAAATGCAATGAGAATGGCTGGAATACAACAAAATCCCGAACGAACGAATCACATAAAAACACCTTTATTGTGAACGAATTGAAAAACGCGCTAGTATTAAGACTGATTGTACAGGGTAATCCGACTTAATACATGAGATCTCAACTATAGAAGTGGTCATTAAAGAAGGCGATGATCAAACCGGATGAAGATACTAACAGAGCTCACATTAACCACCAAATTAACCACCGGTTTGGCATCTGACTGGATGATCACACGTTACGTTAACGGCAAAATATTATTATATAATGCATGCATTTTATTATTTATTTGTATTTAATTATTAGAACTTAATTATTTTTATTACTTTTTCAGAATAAATAGACAGATTCTATTTCACGGATAATAGGTACCTAATATAAGATCAAACAATGTGATTTAACCTGTTTTATATTATGAAAATGTAATATTTTTAATTGTAGATTATTTGTGTACCTGTATTTATGTTACACATTCTTGTTGGCTAAATAGTTTTTTCCTATATGAAAGGTTGTTTTATATTTAGCCAACGACTCTATTATATTTCTATGAATTTTAAAATTTAAATCTATTCTTGCGGTGAATCAGGAGATCCACTCTTAACGTTGGGGGAAATGTAGAGCTGTGCTGATATCCTTTCAAAAATTATCTATTATTTATCTCTTATATTCATACATCCTTTTTATCTATCGAAAACACCGGGACAGGGACTTTTAATCAGTATTATCACTTTACCCAATGAATGTATAGCGTAGACTATGGGGTGATTTTTGTAGCCAATAAAGAGTTTGATAATTAAAAAGCCCGGTGTATATAAACCCATGTATTCCTCCTAAAATGCTAAGCACGGGGCTTCGTAACGTTAAGGGCACACTTCTCAAGTGTAACTCCAATTCGCCACTTTTCCTATATTTGTGAATTGTATTCTTTATTATGTGTATCAATAAAATGTGTTTCAACTATATGAGAATTAATTCATTATCTATAAACAGTATTAATTAGTTAACACATAAAAAGGTAGGCAACCCTTCAAGTCTCGGACACAACCAAACTACCAAGATGACAGACAAAACACACCGGTCACCGATGGCCACGGTATTGGCCGCCGAGAAGGGTTCCGCTCTACAATATATTTATTTAATTCCTAGGCATTAATTGGTATATTTAGTAATGTACATAAATTGTACATTGAAAGAATACTCTGTTTTTCGCTTTAACATAATTTATCAATGTTATCAAACTACCAACAAGGTTGTTTTCGTTCATTAAATACATAATTTCATACTGTAATAAGCTGAATTTTTTTAGTTATTTCTATCAATCTAATCTTTACAGGTTTAATTATTTATCATGTTTATATACATAATTGTTAGAGAAGTTATTGATTTCAATCCAATCATGTTGGTTGATTAATTGCTAGATAATTATTTTTGTTTGTTTTATATTGGTTATTTTTGAGAATATATTGTAATGAACATTAAGTGTACATTGTACGGATAATCTACTTTAAATAGTTTTATTATGATTAAAATTAATCATATCTAAACCAAGTTGTTTGCTCTTTCTAAGTGTGATTTCATAATAAATATGATATTTCTCACAACATTCCGGACTTTCAATACTGAAATCATTAAAATCTGATTATAAGTAACAAACATTAAATGCTTGAAAATTATTTAATTAAATGGTTTATGTGTTATATAATTAAATATTAGATAAAGAGAACCAAAAATGAACTAGTTATTAAGACTGTGTTTGTTAAGTTGTAATAATTAACTTTATAATAACACTTTGGATTATATAAATGTAAATAATTAATAATTAAAAGCCATTTTGTCTACCACTCCAATAATTTAAAGTTAGTTTATTGTTATAAATATCTCTCTCTCTCTCTCTCTCTCTCTCTCTCGAAACTATTAATTATAATTAACTTTTATTTTATTTTTCGCACATAAATCTCAAGTTTATTTTTCGGTTTCTAGCTATTAACTCTCTATCTAGTTATTACTGCATTATTTTCATGATACTTCTGTAAATAGTACATTATACAAATATACATTTTGTATACGAAATAATTTAAATTTCTAATATAATAAGCAAATTACCAGGCTAAATTATTACAAACACGTGAAGTTCATCAGTTGCAATGAATAGAGACGGGTAAAGGACTGCTCTCTCTCTCTCTCTCTCTCTCTCTCTCTCTCTCTGCCATATAGTAACATTTTTAAATAACTCACTTGGTAAAGTTTGATTTAAAACAGTATAAAATTACACTAAAATAGTTACATAACGATGATTATGATTAAATTATTATTTGTCCAAGATCTCATAACCAAAAGTAATAAATGAAAAGTTACTCATAAGTTATAACAATATTTAATGTATGTCTTGACAATAATCACTTATAATTCTAGGTTAGCTTGTTTATTTCAAATATGTATTTTTAAAACATTTTGTTTTATTATGTAAAATTTAAGATCACAATATTTTAAAATAAAAAACAAAACAATTTATCTTGTTGATAAATAGTTATTTTGTTTAAATAAACAGTTGTTTTTATTGCTCATCACATTATTATTGTTTACACCGTTTGTTTCATTATTGTAACACATGTTACCATTAATTTGACGCTGGTGATATTTGCAGTAAAATGTCAAACAATCAACATGCTTATAAACTATATTAATTTATATTAACTACAAACTGACATAGATCCAATTTCTGTGTTATAATAAATTATATAATACATCTTAAATTAATTGTTTTAAGACTAAGATCTAGGTTAAAAATACATAACATTTTTTTATTGAGGTTATACAAAAATTTATGGTGTAAAAATAACCAGAATGTAAATAGTATAAAAGCCAGACTAATTTACCAGCATATTTAAACACTATAGATTATCAATAGGCTAGGATTACATCTAGGATTATAAATAGTATTTTAGTCATATATAATGTGACTGATATGAGTGGTGGAGTTTAATGAAATTTGTGATTCATAATTATATTAAACAAAAATGAATTAGATTTTAAAAGCATTCACTTATATTTTAAGGGCAGGTAATGATTAGTTTAATAGTAACTTTTATACTGTATCATCATTCACTATAAATATAATTCTGCCTATTCCTACTATAGATAGTTTTTAACCATAATTTACTAAATTGTTTCTAGTCAAAATTTTAATAATATGACCATAATTACTAGTGTATTATTTATGAGCCTAGTATCATGCTGTTGGGCCCAAACGCGAACAATTGGCCAGGCTGGATTGAACTTGCTGGAAGTATCGGAAGGGTTTGTGGCCACTTTTTACGCTGATCAAGTTGTAAGTTGTATAGCCATAAAGAATGCAATAATAATGAAATAATAATATATATTTTGTGTAACCAGGGTCAAATAACCATCGGCTACGGACACGCTTGCATTTGGCATAACAATTGCGATAATATTACCCCTCCCATCACTATGGCCCAGGGTGTTCAAATACTAATGAGCGATCTAGTTGAGTTCGAAAATTGTGTTAACGCTGCTGCGCCCCAGCTCAATCAAAATCAATTTGACGCGGTTAGTTTACATTTTTACTAAAATTTTAATTTAGATTTATTTTATGTTTGTATAAATATAAGTCTTTACATAACCAATAATCATCTATATGATATATAGTTTTAAATTATATTAATAGTTATCATAATTGACATTACAGTCTTTAATTCTCTCTCTCTCTCTCTCTCTCTCTCTCTCTCTTGTACAAATTTATACAAAACACATAATTAAGCTAGGACATTAAATTAAACAAAAAATGTATTCAAATATTTATCGTCACATATTTTATCTATTAACATCTAGTGCGTGGACTTTGCATTCAACATGGGTTGTGGGGCTTTCCAGAGTTCTACCATATTGAGTTACATTAACCAGGGTAATTATGCGGCGGGTGCTCAAGCATTCAATCAATACAATTCAATTGGCGGTCAAGTGATTGCTGGTCTCACTGTCCGGCGCGCGGCGGAGGCGCAACTGTTTTCCAGCTAAATCTACCATAAAGTGTTAATTTTATCATGCTCTTTTAATAATTTGCATTTTATACTAATATTGTAGCTTAATTAATATAATGTTTTCTATGATGCTAAATTTGAATATTGTTTATATTTATATTTTGTGATATTAAAAGTATTTGTAAACAATAACTAATAATATATTTTTGAATTAAACAATACATTAGTATATTTTATACCGTATTAATTATTAATAATAAGAAGTGTAAAAATTTTTAAATAATAAAATAACAAACATGTACGGTACAAATACACTTACACTTAAATTACGAGTTTAACTAATTAATGTTAACTAAAAATGTTAGGTACAGTATGCACATATTAATAAAAATTAAACAATAAAATCAATTAATTAAAATATAATCTAGGCACTTACTTATTTGTATAATATAAAATTTTATAATATAGGTTGTTTAACTTAATCAATATCAAATAAAACATGCTATTTATTTACAAATACATGAAATGTAATAAATTATTAAAAGTACCTAGCAGATTTAACCCAATAACAATCTAAATGAATCATAGTTTTAAATTATGTTAATGGTTATCGTAAAAGACATTACAGTCTGTAATTCTCTCTCTCTCTCTCTCTCTCTCTCTCTCTCTCTCTCTCTCTCTCTTTCAATTATTATTACATGACTAGTGTAGACTCAAATTTTACCATA